GTTAAACTAGTTGGGCAAGGTGGCCATGGAACTATCCAAATGGCACATTGGCTAAATGGGAATGTAAGGAGATTGGATCATAAAAATCGTGCCTGGGAAAGGTTTCCAGGATTTACAGTTGCTTTAAAGACCCTTCGCAACTCTCGAAATCCATCTGAGGAATTCCTGAATGAAGTATGTTCGCTGAAATTAACAAGTAATTTTAACTTTAAAATACTAAACAATTGACTTGATTATCTATTAAATCCAGCTAAAAGCACTGCATAAATGCGCCAATGAGAAGCTCACACACGTAGTTTCGGTATATGGAATCTCCCAAAATCCGTATACAAAAGAGTATATAATTGTGATGGAATATATGAATAAAGGTAATATGCGTGATTATCTCCACAATAACTCAGTAGATTTAAACTGGAGTAGTCGGTTGAACATCTTACTTGAAATTGCCACTGGACTTATGAACATTCATACCAATGGACTCATTCATTCTGATTTACATAGTGGAAATTTGCTATTCGAAAGCACTCTAGGCAATACTGCATTTATAGGTGACTTAGGTCTGTGTCGTCCAATTAATCAATCTATTAATAAAAAGAATCCAACAATTTCAATTATTAAAAAGGAGATCTATGGTGTCATACCATATATTGCACCAGAAATCCTATATACGAAATCCTACACCAAAGCTTCTGATATTTACAGCTTCGGAATGTTAATGTACGAAATAGCGACCGGTAAACCGCCATTTTATGATAAAGCACATGACTATCTCCTACTTAAAAAAATTTGTGAAGGTCATAGACCCCCGATACCAGATGGTATTCCAACACCCTACATTGAGTTAATAAATGAATGCTGGGATAGTGAACCTCGCAATCGACCTTCTGTTGAAGAAATCCGAAATAAAATAAATAATTGGTACTATGAAACAAAAAAACCACAATCGGTAATTGGTACCATATTTTCAGATGCTGATATGAAATGTAAAAATTTTCGAGAATCTGGCTTTACGATGCACCCTCACGCAATTTATACAAGTCGACCTCTTAGCAAACAAATATCCGAATGCATTACTTTGATTGATTCAGAACAATTAGAACTATCAATTGTCCACTATCAACTAACAACCACAACAATTCTCACTATATTGGATCGTTGAAACAAATGTGGGTGGAAGAGACCGCTTGAGAGTAGTCTAATTTTAAAAAAAAACTTATTATATGTGCAGTACATAGTAAACTTAAGATCCATTGTTTTATCCAAACTTTCATTCGGATTAGTTTAGTAATACATAATGTTTCAGTTTTTGTCATATGATTATCTGTGGAGGATTTCTATTAGTGATACGGGTTGGCCCCGACCTATCGGCTGGGCGGGCAGATGGTCGAGGGTCGACTCGTACTTCTGTGGGCCGGCCCGCCGATGTATAGCTAAATTATTTTGACCAATAGAAGTGCGTTTATTACTTAGATCTGTTTTTTGGATTGGTTTTGATTATAGGGTCTTTTTAATAAATATTCAGTGCAGAATTATTTAATTTTGATATAAATGCGATAATTTTATTTCGACATTTTTTAAATACCGTAAACTGTTGAATCGTTTTATTAATCATAAATAAAATGTCATTATACGTAAAATTTGTTATTATAATTTGCTATAATTATTATTACACCTTAAGATTATTAATTTAGGGTCGACCAATTCTGCCGATTTGCCAGTTTGAATCAATCACACATATATCGGCTGCAATTTCAATAACTTGTGATCACGATAAGTTAAAAATGAAAATCCATTATTGATATCATTACACAACTATAAACAAACATAAATGTGAAATGCTAAATGCGGAAGCTCCATTGGACATTTTAAAGTTGGTTTTTGTTATGGGAGGACGTTTCTAAAGACAACAAAAAAGATTTATTCATTATCAAAAATCAGCAGATATGGCTGATCCTAATGGAATATTTCAAGTTAGTTATTGTTATTTAGGAATTGGTGTTAAGAAAAATAAAAATAAAGATAAAGCATTTATTTATTATCAAAAATCTGCGAAATGAATAATATTTAGGGTAGTTTTAAAGTTGGTATTTGCTTTCTATTTGGAATTGGGTTAAAAAAGATTTAAAAAAAGCAGAAAAAATTCTTTGTAACCATGATACTTCTTGTCGTCATCTTCGCTTTGATATTTATTTTCTTGCCTAAATTAAATCACTTAGTCATACTTGAATCCGTTTTTATTTGACATATAGAAAAATATTATTTAGCATCTAAAAATCCTGATGCTGATTGGCTACAAGCTATTTTTGACAATGATTTTGATTTTGATTATGATTTTCATGTCAATTATATTAATAGTACTGTATAAGGGTTCTTACCCTTGTCTTTGTCGATTATCTAAGTATAGAATATAATACTTAACCAGGTTGGTGCTAATGATACCTGACAAAAGACGAAATAGTTTCGTCTAGACGAATGACGAAACCGTTTCGTCTGGCAGCTTTAATTAGACGAATGATGAATGACGAAACCCGTTGTTACTATCGTAACATTTCTGCCCCCAAAATTTCATAATTTCTTTATTTCCGTCCCTGCCTTATAATCATTATTATCCCTTATAATGATCAGATGATCCTGCTTCCGATTGTTCTTCCATTGTCCCACCTTATTTCTATTCTTGCCATTTGCCCCTTCCTTATTTGTTTCTTTATACTCTCTCTCCGATATTCCCATATATAGTTACTTCCTGCTATCTTATTTCCGATCTTCTAACTAGATCGGTCTGTAGTAGGGATGGGTTCGGTTAGGCTATAGTCGGCTAGCTGACCGGCTATAGCCGTAGTCGATGATAGTCGACTAGATCGGCTTAGCTGACCGGCTAGCCGATACCAAAATTTCATTTCCTGGCTGATAAATCAAAATTATTGCTTTAATTCGGCATAAAGTGCTCAAATTACATAATTATTGCAAGAAATACCCTAGTTTAGTGTAAAAAAAAAACATGCAATTCACGCGTTTGTGTAATAATCATCATATGATATGCTCCGGATCTAACAATGCTACGCATTTTTCCTAGTATTTTGCTACGTGCAGTTAGTTTTAGTTTCGTCGGAGTTTAGTTATAGTTTTATTTATTTTGTGTTGTTTTCTCTTTTATTTGATTTTATACATTTACATTCTGTCCCGACCCATTACATATTTGTTCACCACCCTGAACTATCTTGGCACTACCCTATCTGACGCTCTCCCAACTTGATGGTGACAACTGTTAAAAGGAATAATGTTATTGTTTAAGCACTTTTATACTTTTTATTATGAATCTTCGTTATTGTTGTTATTATGGTTTTTATGTAATTACAAAATTTACTACATAATTAATAAACCAATTAAGAGCTACTTAAGTACCGAGTTTTTATTTTTATTTATAGTAGTAATTGCAAATAAGAGCAAGGATTATAGTTGTACAAATCTTAATAAGGGATTTCATTATTCAGAAATAACTAATTAATATTATTTGTTTCGAAAATTTTAAAATTGGAATAAATAGATGACCCAAAGTTAGTGGGTATAACCCAATTTTGGCAATAACTAGTCACTTATAGGTTGGCTCCGTTCAGTTTTGGATTTGCTTGATTATACTTAGTGTGTGCTAGAGGTAAATTTTCGGTGAAATGGTTTTCGGTAAACCCTATTTTATGAAATCCAGTAAACTTTTAATTGATTACGATGATCAATAATGGGTCTCAAAATAAATTTATTTTGAAAATAAGGGTGTTCTCAAGCGCCTTAAACAATGGGGCAAAAAGCGTCGGGAAATAAAATTTATTTAGCGGAAAATAGTTTAAATTAGTCAAGCGTGTTTATCATTAAGATGAATATGCATTAATTGAT